GGGTTGCTTTTTTACTTGCCACAATTCGGCGTGTGCCAATCTTCATAGGTAAATGCATTTGGGCCTCGCTGCCGTTTTGATCAAATTTTTGAAAATCGAAAAAAGCGTAAAATCAACGATTTCGATAGGAACATGTCAACCGTAGAATTTGGTGAGCAAAAACCCAAGTACTTCGATTGAAGTTCTTTGTTGTCGGTTCATAGCGTTGCGTACTAGATTGCATAGATTGTCGGTTTTTGGCAACGCAAAAATGCGTTTTGCCCGTTCTTTTAGGCGAAGTGATATCGTCGCTGAGGCAGTAAAGTTGTGGGGACATATAGTTTGTATTTTGGCTGCGCTAGCCGCCGTCGTACGCTATTATTGTGGTAGTGGTAGTAGAAACTAGTAGTAGATGTTGTAGAAGTAGAAGTAGTAGTAGTCGTCGTAGTACTAGTAGTAGTAGTGGGACTAGTCGTAGCAGTAGTCGTAGTTGTACAAGTAGTAGTAGTCGTAGTAGTAGTAGTAGTAGTAGTAGTAGTAGTAGTAGTAGTCGTGGTAGTAGTAGTTGTAGTAGTAGTAGTAGTAATAATAGCAGTAGTAGTAGTAGTCACAATAGTAGAAGTAGTAGTAGTAGTAGTAGTAGTAGTAGATATTATTGATGCAATAATAGAATTAGTAAGGAAGATCAAACGCCATATCAGCAGTCGTATGTTGTGGTTATTACTGCTGTAGCTTTTAAATCTTCAGCATATTGCCTTTGCTTCGCCCTTGTCCTGATCGCGATGATTCGCCTTTGTAATCGTTGACCTGGCATCGCTATTGTTATGACCGTAGCGAGCAAGTCTTTAATCTGGCCGTATACAAGCCTTGATTATGACCATCTTCAGCTTGTATAAAAGTCATATTAAGCCCTTATTAAAAAGCCCTTATTAAGGTCATATTAAGCCCTTATTAAAGCCATATTAAGTCCTTATTAAGGCCTTATTAAAGCCCTTATTAAAGCCATATTAAGCCCGTAGTGTGGCCATATTAAGGCTTTATTAAGGCCATACTAAGCCCTCATTATGGCCATATTAAGCCCGTAATATGGCCATATTAAGCCCTTATTATGGCCATATTACGCCCCTATTAAAGCCATATTAAGCGTCACTCAGAACCTGGTGACCGTCACTCAGAAATGGGTGGCGTCACTCAGATCTCGGTGACAAGTCCATTTCGGGGCTGCCTTTTTGCCTGCCGCAATTCTGCGCGTGCCAATTTTCATAGGCAAATGCCTAGGTTTGTTCGCTTGATTTTGGCCTCGCTGCCTTTTTGGTCAAATTTTTGAAAATCGAAAAAACCGTAAAAGTAACGATTTCGATAGGAATATGTCAACCGTAGAATTCTGAGAGCAAAAACCCAAGCATTTTGAAGCTTTTTTTGTCAGTTCACATCTTTCCGTAATAGATTGCACGGATTGTCGGTTTTTGGCCATGTAAAAATGCGTTTCGCGCGTTCCTCTGGGTAAAGTGAAAACGTTGCCGAGAAACCAACGCCGTGAAAAAAAAAACGCACGGGTTTTCGCGATGCAAAAACAATGTTTTTTTTATTCCTTAAAGTAAGTTGATGAAAGTATGGAAGCAAGCACGGGGAGGAATCAGAAAAACACAAAAAAACTTGTCTGGTTTTGTTCAATCAATGAAACTAATAGTTAGCAGTAGTAGTAGTCGTAGTAGTAGTAGTAGTAGTAGTAGTAGCAGAGTAGCAGAGTAGCAGTA